TCAATGGTCTACGAGCTCGCCTTGTAACCAGAAGGTCCTGGGTTCGAATCCCGGTGGGTGCGTACTGCTGATGAGTCCCAAACTAGGACGAAACAGCTGTCCAGTACTCCCAGGTTTTCCAGTGGTTCTCTAACTGATGTCAGCTCATGATGAAATCCTCCATGCAATCAAACAAAATCCCTACCAAACCAATACTTGAAAATTAATCTGATGCTCACTAGTGACTGGCCCTATTCAGGCAGTTAACCTGGGGTTCTAGTGGGAAGCCGTGACCAGTAGGGTACAGCAGGTCGAAGATGAGGACAGTTACTCATCTAAGAAGACATTGTGAAATGGTCGCGCTATGTCGTGAATTGGCAGAAGTTAGAATTCAAGGACCATTGGATCGGGTCCCAGTGGCTCAATGGTCTACGAGCTCGCCTTGTAACCAGAAGGTCCTGGGTTCGAATCCCGGTGGGTGCGTACTGCTGAAGAGTCCCAAACTAGGACGAAACAGCTGTCCAGTACTCCCAGGTTTTCCAGTGGTTCTCTAACTGATGTCAGCTCATGATGAAACCCTCCATGCAATCAAACCAAATCCCTACAAAACCAATACTTGCAAATTAATCTGATGCTCACTAGTGACTGGCCCTATTCAGGCAGTTAACCTGGGGTTCTAGTGGGAAGCCGTGACCAGTAGGGTACAGCAGGTCGAAGATGAGGACAGTTACTCATCGAAGAAGACATTGTGAAATGGTCGCGCTATGTCGTGAATTGGCAGAAGTTAGAATTCAAGGACCATTGGATCGGGTCCCAGTGGCTCAATGGTCTACGAGCTCGCCTTGTAACCAGAAGGTCCTGGGTTCGAATCCCGGTGGGTGCGTACTGCTGATGAGTCCCAAACTAGGACGAAACAGCTGTCCAGTACTCCCAGGTTTTCCAGTGGTTCTCTAACTGATGTCAGCTCATGATGAAACCCTCCATGAAATCAAATTCGTCAAATACTCTGATTCTTGAAGAAGCTAAGCAGCCTGGAACCGCTCAACCTTTACTTTTAGAGTTTGTTAACTCGTGTATCTTACCAATTTTACTTTACTCCTACCCTTTAGTCTTTGCTGGGCTACTGAAAAAGGACTATGCTAATTTGAGAAAGGTATTCTAGGCCATCAGTAGGGCAAGTGGTATGCAACTCACTTAGCTTGTTACCACATTATTTGACAGTCATCTGAACTCATGCGAGAAATGGTCTATATCCATACGGGATAACCCTTAAGAACCCCTCTGTTCTCAACTCTCCCCTCGTTGCATCTTATCTAGTAGAACCAGAGGTCAGTACGAAAGATTATACACACGTATTACCAAGTATAGGAACTTAACGATTCCATATTTGGCCAGGCCGTGTTCTATGCGATAGAGACAATGTTAAGCATGAAACTTATGAATTACCATGTTGTTAGCAAAATAATCGTCTCTTTTATTATCTCCTATTTGTAATCTATGGTGACACTATCTCAATTAGCTGACGATGTTGGCTACTAACATTACTTATTTCTAATTTCTGTTTGTGTGTTTGTGATTTTACTGTCACTGGTAATACCAAATAAGAACTGCTATTATTAATCGATCCTGTAATATTATCTTTATAAATGTTTTTAATGTTATTCGATAAAATTAGATACAACATTGTACCAAATACTAAAAATTCCATACTGTAACATTAGTACTGTTATGGAATAAAGCAAATTATTATCACTGCTGTTAAGCAAATCATTTTTATCAAGAATATTCTGGCCTAATGGATGTTATACGTATCACACGTGTCAGCCAAATCGTGTCTTCCTTTCAATTGTGTCGAGATTCATAAAATGGGAACTGAATGCGTTATTATTATTGTCCCCTTGGATTCCTAGTGGAACATAGGGCTTCAACTACACGTCTCCACTTGCATCTGTCTTCTGCTGTATTTTTCACTTGCATCCATGTTAATCCATACTGTTTCAGTTCCTCTTCACACGATCTCCTCCATGTCACCCTCGGATGTCCCACTCATCGCTTCCCTTTCGGGTTCCACTCGAGCTATGGCCTGACGCGCGATGTCACCCAGCGGCCTCCTCAGCTCAGCGAGTGTCCGATCCATCTCCACTTTCTCCTGCATATTTGCTGGGTGATTGGTTCTTGTTTTGTTCGTTCTCATAGTTTCTTGTTGGTGATTCTTTCTGGCCATCTGATCTTGAGTATAGAACGAAGACAGTTAATTGTTGATAAAGGTCTGCAACAGGCTGTTGGAAATATTCTTTGTGACACACTGGCCAAGTTTCTGATCCGTATAGAAGAACTGGCCGACTTGACGTTTGTATTGAAAATCCGAATTTTGTTGTTGATGTAGGTTGAGTGACGAAGATTTCCAGACTGGTTTCAGAACTGAATGCGTTAGAATACAGAAATAACCAATAAAATGGGCTTTACGGCTATAAAACGTTTAATAGATTTAGTCGTGTTAACTAATAGTTGGTGACCTCTTAGACTGTAAGATGAATCTAATGTCACAGTATCCAAACTAATCAGTTTGATAATACTGAGATGTTTGAAATTTTGTATACATCTTCAGTAGGACTTCACAAAGAAAACGATGTTTATAAATGCGATACAGGCTTCGCGATAAAAAAAACTAAACAGCTCAGAGAACATGTCTAATTCAATTCACTCGAGTTACAGATCTTCTTTGTTCATTCTAAATAATACAGAATGTGCCTTAAGCCTTGGTAGATGTAGCAGTACTCACTGATATCTACAGCTTTTCGTTGGTAAATAAAAGGAAGGCAACTTTATAGATTTGGGATATTCAGCGAAGCGTTTGAAGAGAAGACCGGAGTGAGACTAGAGTGACTACAATCACTGATGATAGTGGTGACTGACAGTGGTGAAGTGAATCATATGACCGGCCTTGGAGAGTGAGAAGACAGGAATACGTTGGGTTAACAAGAAGACTCTAGATGATCTGGAAATCGAAGACAATTTATGTATAGTGTCACACAAACACGAAGGCTTACTGGAGAAAATCAACAAGTTTTC